GTATATATATATGAAAGTGTTTGGGTATGTAGGTATGGGTATGTTTATGAGTATATGTATAAATTTATATATGTACAGTATATGGGTCTGGTTTTCAGCAAGGCTATAGTCATTATAATTATGTAGATATGCATTTTTGTTGCTGTGGTTTTGCTATCTTTGTTTTTGTAGGTGTGGAGCCAAGAAGTCGGGTGTGCTGTCTTGTGTTTTCTCAACATATATTTAACATATCTTCCAATCTCTCTTTCTCTCTTTCTCATTACATTTCACTTTTTTCTTTCTCTTTCTTTTTCTCCTATTAAAAAAGCCACTGATGATGAAGAAGCTAAGATACTAATATTCAGATATTCAGTTCTGCTTTCTACTGAAGTGGCCAAAAAAAGGGTTTATAAGGTGTTTGCTAACAGAGTTGACACCAGTATTTAATGGTAAAAATAAGCACTTATTGTGAGATCAATCAGTGCTAATATTATAGGATGGGTATAAGACTAAACTACTACCACACACAATGTTTACCTAATATCTGTAAAATTGACCAAGTTATAGCCATTATTGCGTTTACATTACAAATATTGCTCTGCTGTGGTGGCCATCTTGCTTAGGGTTAACACAGGCAAAAACATGCTTTTCTATGCCTTCACCAACAACTAGAAGGTAAAAACTCTGTCATAACTTTTATAATAAAGTGTTTCGACATACTTGTTATATAACCTTTCCAATTTGCTTATTGGGGGCCAATAATTGTGAGGTCAAGTGTAAATTTAATGTTTCAACCTACAGAAGTCAACGTGGCAAACCTCCCACCTCTGCTGGAGCTGCTCAGATTTTTTAAAAACTTTAATTTATGAACTTTATGAACTCTATGAACAAGATGTCCCTGTTGCTATGTATTTTATAACACTTCATTAAATGTTCTTGAATTTCAAATTATATCACATTTATACCCATAGTTACTCAGCAAACAGCAGCAATGTTCTTTTCGAGCACAACACACAACATTGGGGTTTAAAGCAGCCTTTCAATCATATACTTTTTATTGCAACTTGTAAAGTAAACTATGCTGTTTTCATATGGCATCTTTAGTGTTGGTGCTAAAAATATTTCTTAAGACATCAGAACTAATACTGCTGCCTACAAACATATTTAGTTCCATCAAAAACATCACCAGAGTCCATAATTCAACGCAAAGTTTGTGGAAATGATCCTGCTGCCTTTTTCTTTTTCATTTTTTTTTTCAGTTTTTGCTTACTTCAGCGGTTTTATCTTTGCACAGTATTTACTCACCATGAACCCTCACAATCCAGACAAGAGATCGCTGCCCTGTGGCGTGTGATTTCTTTGTTTCCTCTTGGATCTGTGCTTGATTAATATCGCTCACAACCTGAAAAACCTATCCATAGAGTTGTTTTTGATGATAAATGGGAGATGTGGGGTATGTAAATGAGTTTGTCTTTGGTGTGCTACTCGGTCCCCAATCAGATATCACATGGGAGGCTTTTCCAGGGTCTTTATAACAGAAGACATGGAGAAGTGTTTGTGCTAATATAAACATACAGAATGAAAACAGAAAACTGTAAAATGAAGCTAATATATGAATAAATATTAGGAGTCATGCTGTATCTAACGTACAATCCAGGCAGCACATTTTGTTTTTGATCTTGAAGGATGAACCCGAGGATTCCATTTTATAGCTTTACTTTTTCATAGTTTGGGTAGTTGTTCAATGCAGAGCTGAGTAAAGAAAAGCAATAAGTACATTCAGGATTCCTTTCGAGTAATATCATATGGTGCCTAGAGATATCTGAGGCTCAAAGGCAACTTCCAGGCGAGGTAAAAATAGCATGTCACAATGAATTATTGTGACAATGCTAGGATTCAGTGGGTTAAAATCCTATATCAGAAAGTATTGTTTTTAACATGTGGATTGGCCACTACAGAGTCCAGACCCTTAAACCACAGGCTGCGTAAAAGAGTCACTTTATGGTCTGACTTTTCAAACATCGAAACAAAATCAGGGTTAATTTAAACCCCAACATTTATTGAAGGAATCTATATTCTCCACCACCTTTCTTGCATTAGATTTATACTAACAGATGTTTTGTCAAATTTTGTAAATGACCTTGCTGGTCGGTTAGCGTATGGAGTATGTTGAGGGTGACTTTCAGTCACTACCACGCCAAATCTCAACATTTGAAAAACTGAAAAGGTCATTGCCATTTTTGTGTTTATTCTTAAGCTGTGGCAGCCATCTAGAATTGTGTCAACCTAAACTTTAATAAATTGTAAA